AGACGAGGAATAAGGGTCTTATCTAGACCCTTTTTAAAAAAAAAAAAAAAGTATATGCTTCAAACAAAAATGCGCGCCTTGCACTGCTCGTGATGCATGTCCATGACTTCACGTAATACGTAATTACGTTGAAAAGGTCACGCTTGACATAGACGGAAGTTAGGTTTCAAAAGATTTAAACATCCAGGATACGCACATGAAGTGACCATTTTAAACGATAAACTGGCACAAAGACATTTGAATATGTGTCATTGAACATACAACAACTTTTGAACGGTCCTCCTAATCCACATTTGTAAACACTGAGTCGGTACGTTCGCCTACGTCAAGCGTGACCTTTCCGACGTAATTACGTATTACGTGAAGTCATGGACGCGCATCACAAAGCAGTGCATGGCGCGCATTTTTGTTTATAAAGCATATACTTTTTTTTTAGAAAATGACTGATCGTTTCGCTAGATAAGACCCTTATTCCTCGTCTGGTATCATGTAGAGCACTTTGAAGAGGCACTGAAACTGTAATTTTGACCTTCAACCGTTTGGTAGCCATTGAAGTCCACTATAAGGACAATAATCCTGGAATGTTTTAATCAAAAACCTTAATTTCTTTTCGACTGAAGAAAGAAATATGTAAACATCTTGGATGACATGTAGGTGAGTAAATTATCAGGACATTTTAATTTGAAAGTGAACCAATCCTTTAAAGGACTTAAAAAGGGAACCAGAGAGAGAAAGAGAGAGCGTGTTTGCCCATTGAGAACAAAGTAGACATGTAAGCTCATCTGCACCCTTGAGGGTGAGAGAAGAAAATAGCATGGGGAGCAACAATGCACCGCGCCAAAAATGGAGAAACTATTTTGATATGTTCTGCGATGCGCTGATCAGGTTTAAACACAGAGGCATGACAGCAGCTGCCCCTGTGCTCGACAGGAAGAGTGACGAAGGTTAACACCCCCCAAGCTGTCAATCAAGGTGGGAGGTGTTACACTCTCCGTGTATTCGCAACTTATAACAATGGCATTCAAGAGCACCTCTGAGGAGTATGTTTGTGATGAGCTTTCTTAGGCCACACTTAGCAGGTTGAAGTGTCTATTTGCTGATCTGTCAATGTTAAACATTAACATCCATCAGTGAAAGTCCAGGGAACCTGCTCGGCCAGCATGTGAAGTGTGGCAGCATGAGAAATAGCAGGGCATGATAACAATGGATGCTGCGTGGTATTGGCACTGATCATCACACATGTGCGTGCAACAGGATCTCTGCGCTGTGGATTAACGGGCTGTGCTTTCGCCATGATCTGTGAGGAGCTACGGCGACAAGGTCACACACACACACACACACACACACACACACGAGACAGTGACTGCTTTTCTCAGAAAGACTTAATGGAGCTCAATTGCAACTTTCAGCCACCCTAAATAGGGAACGAATGTACAAAATGAGGTCCAGTTCCTAGAAGGTCACCCAGCATTGTTCACTGGCAACAAGAGAACGAACAAGCTCAGCCAACATGTACTCTCTTGTAGGAATGGACACTTGACGTGAAGATGATCAGAGGTTGTCTTATGGACAAACCATCATGATTTGGAGGAGGAGGAGAAGTGTAGATGATGCTATAGATAACTGCTCATAAGTTGGTGTTAATGCAAACAGGGTTGGGCAAAAGTCAGAATTGAAGAATTGTCTGCCTTTCAATTTATGAGTGTGAATTTAGCCACACCGCAAAGGAAGATTCAATTAGAATTTGAATCAGGAAGATAAATTTATGGTGCTTTTCCAATGTATGGTAGGGCTCGGCTCGCCTCGGTTTTGCGTTTCCATTGCAGTTTAGTACCGCTTTAGAGTGGGCGGGATTATAGACATGTCGTTATAGTTGCGCCGCCTCTACTGCCGTGACATTATTGTAAATGCGTTCGATCCTCGCTGGCTGTGCTGATTTAATATAGCAGGTCTAGTGTCTCGTGTTGCAAGTTCAATGATGCAGGTAGTGACGATTCTCTCCAACCAATCAGTGATCAGTATGGTTTACACGTCACATTTTGGTAATGGTACGGTTCGCTTGGAACCTCAGCCAAGGTGGTACTGAAAAAAGTACCAGGTACTGTACACCGTACACAATCAATCAATCAATCTTGGTTGCATTATAAGCATCCAACCAAGGCTTATAAACCATTTTTAAATGTATTTTTTTATAAACCACTTTTAAACGTTTTTCAAAACTTTCAAACAAACATTTGTAAAATCAAGTTTTTCTTGACAAACTTGGCTTTTCTAGCTTTAAAAAAGTCAGTTAAATGAATCTGAATTCATTTTCACTCTACTTACTTTACAAATTTGAATCATCTGCATCTTGTTTACTACCTCAACTCAAATTCACTTCAAATTCAGGAATTGAAACAAAAAATAAAAGGCTTCTTGTTGCAGTTCTGAATGCTTCACAATGCACAATCCTGAATGAAACAGTGGATTAGATGGAGAGGAGCTTAAGACTTTTTTTTTAATTAAAAGGTCCATACTTCAAATGACATGGACAAGTTTCAATGAGATGCTTAATTGTGCTGCTGACTAATGTAGACCAGTACCACAAGATGAGAATGACGTGTCTATTCAATTTTGCTCTAGCTGAGAGCTGATTCATGATTTAAGAGAGGCCCGATGGCACAATTCACAAGTGCGTCAACGCTTTCCAGAACATAGCAGCATTTATCAGTGTGCATATACAAAAAGCCCCAGCGATGAGCTATTTCAGGCATATCTGGCCTCCAGGTAGAAGAGTGACCTCCGAACCCCTGAGCTGTTGGAGTTATCTTTCCACCCACTGTATGCACACAGCCTCCTCATCGGCCCTCACAGAGCACGGAGAGCCCAGAACAAGCCCAGCAAAAGGGCCCTACACAACACCCACACAAGGACTCACCACATATTCAGCTCAATACTGAACTACTAATGGAGCGTTCAAGATCAAGAAAGAATACAGTGGAAAGGAAGATGCAGCAAATACATGCATTCCAGCTGTCATATCATAAAGCACTTTAGTATCTTAAAATAACTTCAGCATGCATCAATCAGCAGCACAGCAGGGTAAAATAGCTCACACCTAACCCTCCTCAGGAGGAGGCTGGAGGACGGAAAGCAGAACAGTTTTGTTTAAAGGTTTATGCTTCCATCAGTCCCCCAGCAACACAGTCACAATTTTTATTCCTCTGCTTGTTATAGCGATGCAGGACTAGGGGTCAAACAAACATGCCTGCTCTTTACTCGCCACATGTCATCACAGCATAGCCATCTGATTGGCAGAGAAATGTTGAACCGTGTGGGTCTCGAGGTTATTGGGTCAAACTGATGCTGGGCGATATACCGGTTCAAACAGTAAACCGGTTTGAATTACGAAACTGGTATGAATTTTTAAAAACCGACATACTGGTACAAGTGCCTAAGCAACATAGATAGCATCGTAAATTGAGAGTTAACTGTTAACTTAACCTGCAAAGATCACCGGCAGCTTCAGATTATACATCACACATTTTCTCAAATTAACACCCCAAATGTATGCTCTTGTATGATGATAGCTCATATTAATGGTACTGACAGGTAAAATAACTTAATATAAATGACAACTTTTAAATGCTTAAAAACACGGATGAAAACAAATAAATCTGCAATAATTTAGATCACACAAAACTGAAATGACAATGGCACAACTGAACTAAATATTATAATTAAATATATGTTTAATTTAAAAAACATTATATATATATATATATATATATATATA